TTGTAGAAACCACGACGACGAGAGGAGCTCTTTCCATTTTTAGATCATACTACAAAACAAGGTTATCAAGTGAAGGACCTAATGCCATGTCACCTGTCATTTAACACACCAGCCAGAGAGGGTAATTGGCCTAGTTTCTACTATCCTGTATTTTCTCCCAATTATTCTTTTTTCCAAGTAACTGGAGATGCACACAGAGTGACCAGTCCCCATCCAGTGACCAGGTGCCCTTGTTTAATCAAGTTATGCAAAGTAAGATATTTCTTAATGCAGCCACTCATTTGTTTTGCTAATGCTCATCAAGAGGAGAAGAGATAAGTATGATTGGTACCTCTCAGTCATGGTGCCCTGGGGCAAATGTTAAAGTGAGCTCTGATCTATAAGGCAAATAAACGAAGATAGGAGAAAGAAACCTGGTTTCTTAGAATTAGGATTGCTGATAAATTCAGGGTAAATTCTTCCAAGATGATGTGCCTGAAAACTCTGATGTTCAGCAGGAGAGGCAAATAATTTGGTGGGAATGACTTCTTAAAACAAAGTAAAAAAGCAAGCAGAAAGATTTTCTAAAGGGGGAGGGAGATTTAGAAATAGAACAGACAGCAAGCACCCGGGATTAAAACAGCAGACAGCAAGCACCCGGGATTAAAACAGCAGGTCAGCAAGGAAGCTTCACAGAATATTCCAGCACACAGATTACAATGAAAACACAGTGGCTCTGACAGCTCCAGCAACACATGACACAAAGGCAGAGAGGTACACAGGCACTAGTGCTACCCCAGCCATCAGGGACCTGGTGATAAAGACCAACTCACTCTTTCAAAGTTCCAGGGACAGAGCTTGCTAGCAGCAGTACCCTGAATTTATCAGCAATCCTAATTCTAAGAAACCAGGTTTCTTTCTTCTAATTCCAATGCAAATTTAAACACTTCAAGTAGACCACTCTTTCTTCTTGTGACTCCATGGAGTCTACTGCTCATAAGTGTTATTTAATTTGGGTCCAAAGAAATAAAAAAAAAATTAACTTTATTTTTTTGTGGTGCTACAGAGCAAACCCAGGGCCCTATGCATCCAAAACAAGCACTCTACCGCTGAGCTAAACCCTCAATCTCACTTTTCACTCCTGAAGGACTTTTCCCTAGGCCATTAAGTGTTCACAAAACACTGCACAAGTTCTGCGTCCAACTCTGTGCACAGTTCATCTAAGTTGATTCAGCTTGACAAGGCCTGCTATGAATGAGAAAGTAGAGAGCTACCCCGCCCCAGCTAGAGAGGTCAACCCAATGGATCTAATTAGGGCTTGTTTTAGGAGACTATCAGTACATAGTGACTGATTCACGTTGTAATCCATCATAGCACACTAAGTCTACATTATTGTTGAGTGACAGAGACCACTGTCTGGTAGCTTCCTAAAGGGAGCCCCCTTTCTGTGAGAGCATCTGGAGTCACTCTGGCAGTGCTGCCTAAAGAAACCAGGTGAGTCTCTTTCTAAAAGCTGAATTTACAATTCACCTATTTTGTTGAACAGTATCGCGAACTTGACATGAAGAGGCCAGAAGCTGTGAACCTGAGTGACAAGGCACTGGCAAGATAGTTCTCAAGTACTGAAGTAAACCTGAGTATTCAGGGGTTTGCCTTTCCTCTGGTGGTACAAAGTCCTCACTGTTACCACCTTAGTTGTCTGGGATAGCACTATTTGGAGGTCTCAGAATTACAAAAAGAAGAACAAAGTGTTATGTATCATAAGGCAGGAATTTCAGTGGAGACTAAATAAATATACAAACAAGGAGTCCCTGACCTTCAGCAGCAGGGTTTTTCCCAGATCCTTACACCATTACTTGGAATTCTATTTCACAAAAAAATCCAAGTAGTCCTTCATTTGGAAGAACTCTAACATGAATTGCAAGTTCTTTTTGGGTAATCAGAACGGATTCTGAGGTTCATGAGTTGCAAAGCCCAACCTTCATGAGAATACACACACTTCCTTTGTTCTCACAGCCACCGCTGAGATAAACAAGGAAGATGCTACTGCTACCATTTACTGACAAGTAGCTGCTTTTTTCAGTCTGAGATCATTCACCCTAACTTATATGTTTACTTCTGTTTAAAAAAAAAAAGGCTGGTTAAAATTGGTATAGAGCCACTTTCTTTGTTTAACAAACATCAGTTCCCAATCAAAATACTTTGAAGCATAAGATACTGTGAAGTCCACTGGAGTGACATCTCTTACCTTGTCTGACTCACTGATGCAGTGGAGATCTGCAGAAAACCCGTGGGCCACAGCTTGCTCACTTATTTCTTCTGCTATGGCCTTTGCCTGGCCTCGCTGTGTAGCATATAATAACAAGAACCTCCTCATTGCACGAGGCATGTACTGTGACTATGAGAGTGACACTGAAAAACAGAAACAGGAAAAGGGAAATTTTCTTCTTAATGAAGTAGTAACAACCTCAACATAGGAATTCTACCTCAATTTTCATAAAGGAATGAAACAATATTCACACAATATGAAAGCCTTCTCTAAATTTATTTTTTGCACTGATTTTAAATAAACCTAAATAACACAGAATTCATCAAAAGTAGGGAGAAGACAAGACTAAAGTTCTAATTTCATGGTTCAGAAATCAGATTATGAAGTCAAGCTACTTTCGGGTCCCCAAACTGTCATTCAGAAGTGAACACCTGTAGGAAAGCTACTTAAATGTTCTGAGTCTTAGCTCCCTAGTCCTCAAATTAGGATTCTACCTACCTGATAAAGGATATGACACACAAATCACCTCAGCAATGCTCAAGCCATAATATCACTTAAAAAAAGTTTTATCTATTTTTTCGTTAATCATTTTAGTATCAAAAGTGCATATGGTAATAAAAAGAAAAAAAATATTTCCATCCTAACTTCTTTTTTCCCCCTGAAGAGTCAACCAGGGGTAAAATCAACAGAGGCTAACCCTTGTCAACTTATAGACAAAAATGAAATCCAAATCAAAATACTGGCTTTTGGTGAACAAACCACCCATACTTTCATGCTCCTCTAGCTTACCTAAAGCACAAACAAAAAGCCTTCACATGTTAACTGAATTACTCTTAGGAACGGAACAGCATGGCACAAGGTGCTCAGCTAAGCGCCTGAAGAGAGAAGCGAACGCCACGGTGACCCTGCGAGTCCAAGGCTCAGCGAGGATGTGGTGTCACCCCTCCGGCGTCACAGCCGCAAGCTGTCCCTCGCGAGCCGCAAGCTGTCCCGAGGACCTCGGGGGCCCCAACTTTCGCCGCGGCTGCCTAAGGACTAAGGCGCCAGCCACGCCTCCGCGGAGGTTCCCCGGCTCCAGACCCGCAGGGGCATCGGAAGAGAATCGCGCAGCGGAGGAGACCCCACGCCCCGGCGACCCCGTGCAGGAGGCCAACACCGCGTACCCCTGGACCCCAGCCGACCTTCGAACCCACGCCCAAACCCCCGATGGCCTCTGCTGCGTCCCAGCTGGGCCTGCAGCTGGGAACCGCTGCCGCCAGAGCGCTCACCTGCGACGCAGGACCCTGGCTTAGCAAAATCCGGGAGTCTAACCAGAGCACAGGCGTACAGCCGAAGTGCGCATGCTCGGTACTCATGACCAATAGGAAGCTCCGGAGAAGACTTGAGCCAATCACAGGACTCTAGATGTGGGCGGTACAGGGCCAATTCTGCATCTCGCGCTTGCGCCAAGCTGCTTCTTTCCGCCGCGGCGTTCGTGTACGGGGACCCACGAGGGTCCAGCCTCTGCCGCTACTTGTAGCGCGGTGCGGGTGGAGCCAGGTAAGTGTCCACACGGGTGCTCCGCCTGCGCTGCTCGGCTGGCTGTGCACAGTGCTGGGTCGCTGGCCCTTCATGTGCGGCGCCCCCCGGAACAGAACCACAGGCTCCGCGGCGCTGGGTTCGGGCGCTCGGCCCGTGGAGGTCCTTTCTTCGCTGGAGGACGCGACCCCGGCTCCCGGCTCGTCTGCCCCTCGCGCTGGGGTTCCCTGGTCCCCCGGCCCCTCGTTGGCTTCCCCAGTTGGCTGCTTTGCTGTTTTTCTCTGGTTGCCAGGGTAGCCCCCGCCTCTCCCCGGTCCTGACACCCGCGGGGAGCCGCGCGTCCCCTGCCCTGCCCGCCTCCCCGAGCTGGCCCGCGGGATTTGAAGAGCTCCGCCTTTGGCCGACGGAGCCCTCCCTGGACCAGCCCGGCGGACGTGCGGCGAAGAGCTCGGGGTTTGACTCCCACCCAGCTCGCCACTTACTCGCGATGCCCAAAGCCTGGTCCTGGCTCCATCGCTGATCTAAAAAAGACAGGCTTTGAGAAAAAGGAAGGAGTTTCATTGCTTTGCTAGCCAAGGAGGAACACGGAGGACTCCTGTCCCGGAGGCTGTGATCCCCCCTGCCAGGGGGGCGCAGGGCTTTTTAAGAAGGAACACAAGGGCTGGGATCCCAATGCAGTCAGATATAATTACTTAGTATCCAGCAGATGTCTTTGAGAGAGGCATTGCTCCAGTTCCCAGGTTTGGAGTTTGTTTATTCTTGTGGGTAGTGATATTCTTCCAGGCAGTGGAAGACAGGAGTGCTTAGCCTGGGATAGGAAAAGTGTTAGTATTGTTTCCCTGGTTGTTAGGGAGGAGGAAAAGTGGAAGAGAAACAGGGGGGAAAAATGTCAGCCACCTGCAGGTTTATGCTCAAAGCATAAGGTGGCCCCCTCCCTCTTAACACTAGCTGTGTAAACTGGACACAGTAACTTTTCTGTGCCTCACTTTCTTCTTTGGCTGTCAGATGATGACAAAAGTAGATAATTTGTATAAGTGAGTACACCTATAAAGCACCTGGAACTGTGCCTGGCAAGTGACAGCAATTGTTTTTGCTATCAGTCACTTTCCCAAGCTCTGGGACACAGAGACCTACCTTTCTAGTGCTTATATACAAATGGGAAATTTTTATTTATCCCTGTTTTGGAGTACCCATCCTTTTTTTCATGGACATTGATATACAGTGAGTCATGTGCTTTGTATTTGACCTTGTCTTTTTATTTTACAAGTCCAGAAGAGCTGAGAATTACATGGCATGGCTTTAATTACCTTGCGAAGGAACTTCTGTCATTTGTCTGATTTTCGGATACATGGAGCTCTGGCTGCTCTGAGAAATCATCCTATAAATCATGTTCACAAGGTATCCAAAGAGCAACTGCATCCTTGGTTCTGTTCAGTACAGTATGAGCCTTTCAGGATCCATTTTCATCATGCCTGCTATAAAAAGTTCCACTTACAAAATGGAAATGAACTTCATCCAGTTGGTGAGCCAGCATTCTCTCAGGGACAAGACTGGAACAAGTTTGAACAAAATCTTAAAAATGAGGATGAACAGATATTTTACAGGAAACTAAACGAATTCACTTCATCAGAAGAGGTGTTGAGTTTTATAAAAACACTGGAAACTCTGCCTGATGCTATGGCTGCAGGAGCCTTACAACGGATCTGTGAAGTAGAGAAAAAAGGTGGTGATCAAAGGCTGCCCAAAGAAATACTAGAGAGCAGTGTCTTTCAAGCTTTATGTTTTCAGCTTGAACGGGAGCCCTCACAGCTGTCAAACTCTGGTTTGCTGACTGCTTTGCAAGCTCTGATTTGGTTGCATGTGGATACTCAAAGTAGCTTGGTACTGAATCTCGTGGCAGAATGCCAGAATCGTCTCAAAAGAGGTGGCCTGGAAGTGCATGATCTTTGTGTTCTTGGGGAGAGTCTGATTAGACTGCAAGGCCCAGGTTGTGTGACACTAGAACTGATTATCTATCAACTGCAAGGTGCAAAATTGGAAGTATTTACCCCAGAGGATATTGTGGCCCTTTATAGAATACTGCAGGCATGTGCTGAAAAAGTAGACCAACACCAGACATTTTTAAATACGATAAACAACTTTTCCCTTTCAATAGTTTCCTACCTGAGTCCTAAATCCATTAGCCAAATGCTTACTGCTCTGGTGGTTCTGGATCAAGCTCAGGCACTTCCTCTGGTTATAAAATTGGGTAAATATGTTGTGAGGCACATTCCCCATTTCACTAATGAAGAGCTCAGGAAAGTCATAGAGGCTTTCATATATTTTGGACACAATGACAGGTTTTTTATCAAAGCCCTAGAGCGGCATGTAGCTGCATTCTGCCTCACCTTGGATGCTGATGTTGTCAGCAAAATCATGGAGTACTGCAGCAGAAAGCTGATTCTTTCGGAACCCATCCTCAATGCAGTGGCAGAAACTTTTGTTAGCCAATCAGAAAAATTATCACCTAGTCAGATTTCTGAGTTAATTGAGCCATTTGGAAAACTAAATTATTTGCCACCAAATGCACCTGCTTTATTTAGGAAGCTAGAACATGTGTTGTTCACCCATTTCAATTATTTTCCACCCAAAACATTATTGAGACTCCTCCATTCATGTTCGCTGATTGCACACCCTCCAGTCAACTTCATGGGAAAAATATTCAGCCCTTTTTTTCTTCAAAAGCTTCAAGGCAAGTTGGTTATACTTTCTGACACTTGGATATAACTAACCTTTGAACTTGTGATGTTTTCAGGTTACCTCGGTACCATTTACACGGCAATACTCTGCCTTCATTTTTTCTTGAAAGTGAGATTGGAAGTTTTAGATGCTAGTGTAAACACAGAGCTGGGACATTGTGCAAAGGGAGGAAAGCAGCCTCAGATATACCTGACTGCTGCCTGGCTGGGGTACTGCAGGGTTCCTGGGGGACATGGTAATGGCAGTGATAAAAGCCATTATAGTGTCAGAACCTTTGTTGAGTGAGCAGCTGTTACTTTTTTAAGAGGATGGTACTATTTTTTTTTTTTAAGTGAAATGTCTGACCTCTCTACCTTATTTTAAAACTTATTAGGTTTTTTTTTTTTTTTTTTTGGTGTGTTTGTGTGTGTGTGTGTGTGTGCGTGCTGGGGATTGAACCCAAGACCTTATGCATTCTAGGCAAGCACTCTACCAACTGAGTCCCCCAGCCTGCTATTGTTCATCTTAAGTCAAGAAAGCCAAATATGTCAAATTCCTCTATGTCCATGGTTAAAAGAATATTTCTGCTAATTCTCTAAATATATTTTGTCCTCTGTATTTATTATCTGTAGCTAAGAGCTTAGGTTCTTGGAAATCAGTTTCATTGATGGCAAGAAGAGGACATTATTAATTCTGACAAGTTCATTCCCTAGAGTCATCTGAAGTCATGAGTGTAATGTCTCCTATTCATAATGTTCATTCTCTCACTACCCTACCCAAATTCAAGCTGAACAATAACAGAGGTGTTTTGTATTTCAGGTGAAGAGTCGCATTTGGACAGATTGAGTATGGCACAACTGACCCAACTGTTCCTAACCTCAGTCCTAGAGTGCCCTTTCTATAAGGTAAAAGCATGACTATGAACAGTATGGCCTTGTTTCCTTATGGGGCCAGTTTCCTTTAAAATTCCTTCACTTTAGGTCTCTCAGTACCCTCATTAAAAAATAGAACTTTCCCTTATCTGGTGTAGTTGCCATCAGATGGGCTTTTCTTGGATCAGTTGGCTCCATTTCTGTGCCTTACCCTACAGAGTCTGGCAGGGTTGCCTGGCAGGTCTCATCAAGCGCTGCAAGAGCACACTCCTAGACTCTGAACTTCTTCAGGGTCTCAGCACTTCCTGTGGCTATGGTTATCAAAATGTGAATCTTTGAACTGAACAGATCTAGATTATTTCTCAGTATGTTTTTAAACCAGATCAGAAATTTCACTCTTCTCTGGAATGTGCTTGAGGTGGGTTGTCCTTATGACTGTCCCATGCCTTGTGTAGGATCAGAAATTGTATCACTAGTCTTGCCCATCTCTTGCCTGGTCCTTCGTACTCTTAACGCAGTACTAGAAAGTCTGATTTGGGGAATAATGAATAAGGTTCAGAAAGCACCGCTGTTTTCTTTAAAAATAGTTTAGCACAAATATACTTAAAGATAAGTTATAGTCACCCCCAGTCTTCTTCCATCCCTGAAGGAACATTGTTAACTGCAGTTTCTGCACCCAAATGTATACAAATACATAAACACCCTCCGGTTTTTCTCTCTTTATGGGATAAAATTTGTTTTTGTGTCCAGGATATTGTGGGCATTCCTGGAATCCCATCGTGTAGAACGAAGGCTTTCTTAAGAATGGCATGATTTTTCAGGATATTCGTTCTGCTTTTCCACCATGAAAACGCTTCCTGGACTTTCCAGCCCTATCAACATGTGCCAGTAAACATTGTTGTGTGTCTTAATTTTTGTTCTTTAGTTTGTAAACTAGATTCCTGGAATTTGTTCGGGGTTAGTCCTGACAGATTCCGCCCCTCCCCATGACTCTTTGTAGATGTCCTGTTTCCCCAGCACTGAAGAGCAGTGGCCTGTCTCCCCAACTTCTGCAGCCTTAGCTCTTTACTATCTGCCCCTGTTGTCATGTCAGAAGTTTACATTGCATTTTAATGAGACCAGTGAAGTCGAGCACATTTTCAAATGTTTTTTAGCCATGTATATGTTCTATGAATTATCTTTCTGCACTTTTACTCATTTCTGTTTGTCTTTTCTTAATGACTCATGAAATAGTTGTTTATTATGTACGTTGCACATATTTTCTCCTGGTTTGTAATTTTTTATTATTACTATTGGGGGGGGGGGTGGTACTAGGAATTGAACTCACGGGCCCTCAGCAACTGAGCCCCATCCCAGCCCTATTTTGTATTTTATTTAGAGACGGGGTCTCTAAATAATGCTAAGCACCTCATCATTGCTGAGGCTGGCTTTGAACTTGCAATCCTCCTACCTCAGCCTCCTGAGCTGCTGGGATTATAGGCGTGTGTCACCACGCCTGGTTCCTATTATTACTATTTTTAATTTAATATTGTTATGCTGTCATTTTGCTGTATAAAAATTTGTTTTTTTAATATATTTATTTTATTTATTTATTGTTATGTGATGCTGAGGATTGAGCCAAGTGCCTCGCACGTGCTAGGCCAGCACTCTACCTCTGAGCCACAACCCCCTGTACAGAAGTTTTTGATAATTAAATCTGTCTTTTGTTACTTCTGGATTTCCTATTTTGTTAAAGAATATCCACCAATACTAAGTCAACACAAATGTCCTACTAATTTTTAAAAATAATATTTTCCTTATATCGTCAATATATCTGCAATTTATTTATTTTTATTTAGATCTTTTAATTAACAAATAAAAATGTACACGTATCTTATTCATGTTATTTTGAAATATGCACATATTTAGCCATTCCATAATGTCTATTAGCCTAAGTATTATCTAATCAACATATGTGTCATCTCACATGTTTTGCAGGCGCACACTGTGTGTATTTATGTTAAGTACACTTCCTCTTCTGTCCTGCCAGTGTGTGTGTGTGTTAAGTACAATTAAGCTCTTCTGTCCTGCCTGTGTGTGTGTTAAGTACACTTAAACTCTTGTGTCGTGTGTGTGTGTGTGTGTGTGTAAAGCACACTTAAACTCTTCTGTCCGGCCAGTGTTCAAGGATGCCTAACTGTAGTCACTGTCTACAGACTGGGATGTGCTGTGATCTGTCATGGAGGATAGTTAACTTTGTTCTTTTCCATTCTTTTCCACGTGGACAACAAATCACCAGCATTTATTACATCACTGTTCTTTCCTTACTAAGTTAAAAATATCACCTTTATGTCATTTTCCACTGTTAAAACATGAAGTGAGTACTGAAGGCACGTGAAGCAATTCTAGGAGTTCCAAAGGTGGACATTGTTGTTTCTGCTCTTTCCCTCCTCCCTCCCTACCATCTCTTGGTTTATGTGACCAATGAGGCTATTTATTAAAACGTATTTAAACTGCAATAATAGGGCTGGGGATTTGGCTCAAGCGGTAGCGTGCTTGCCTGGCATGCGTGTGGCCCGGGTTCAATCCTTAGCACCACATACAAACAAAGATGTTGTGTCCGCCAAAAACTGAAAAATAAATATTAAAAAAAATAAATAAATAAACTGCAATAATAATTATGCATTATCATTTCAGGAAAGATATATGCCCTAAGTCCTGGAAAAAATATCATGCCCCAATGAAGAAATTTTGTATGAAATGATTATATCCAGGGAGGCTTCAGTTTATTATATGCTTTATATCTTGTTTTTCTTTCTTATATTTGCATGTATGATTTTTAGGGTCCCAAACTATTTCGTCAATACCAAGTAAAATCATTTCTTACTCCATGCTGTTCCCTGGAGACCCCTGTGGATTTTCATCTTTATAAATCTGTGATGATTGGACTGATTGACCTTTTAGGAGCAAGATCATATTTTGCTTCAAAAGTGTTAACACCCTATTGTTATACGATAGGTAAGTAGTACAGGGAGTTCTGTTGGAAGCATTTATCCTCTTTAGATATCTATGGGACTTAGTAGCCATAGAAGGTCTTTGGAAATGCAAAATGCAAATGTCCCTTCCCTGAAAGA